TCTGAACCTGTCCCACAGGCTGCCTTTTTTGAACCTTTACTGTCACATCGGTTCCCGTTCGAAAGCTTAGCCCCAGAAAACCGAACACCAGTAAAATGTCTTTTAGGCTTTTATTTTACAGCAGGCGTTGCCCCCACCCCGGTCCTCCTTGCTCTTATCACCACTTAAGAAAGCCTCCTTAGAAGCTGAGCAGAGATTTTCTGAAAGAATTAGGTTATTTCAGGATTATCCCACTGAATGGTTTAAATCTTTTAAAGTAATTTGGTGATCATATTTGCTTGTTTGTATTTTGTTGATTGAAACAGAACTTCTATGTCTTGATTTCAGGGTAAGGCAAGGATCAGTAGCAAGTTCTGGTATCCAAAGACATCAAAAGTGGCATCAATAAAAAACACAGCGGCACTCTGCAGAAGCCAATCCACATCTTCCAATGGCAAAGCTGTGGACAGGGTGTCTTTCAGGGGTAACACTTATGCCTTATGGGTGAGAAACCATTTACACTACTACTAAAACCTTTTAAATGTGAGTTATTGCAGGTTTTAAAACTTGTTGGAAAGGAAGTGGGAGAGGGAGAAGGAAAGAAAAAGCATGTCTGAAGTTGAAGAGCCGTGGAGAAAGAAAATGAGGAGCTTAATTAATTCTGAAAAGAAGAAGATTGGTGTATAATAATAATAATAACAATAACAATAATAATAGTAACCATTCTCCTCCTAATCTACTTGCTTTCAAATCTACATGAGAGATGTTGACTGTATCACCTGTAGGTCTTTAAAAAATAGAAGATTTCTGTAACATAATCTGAGAGTCCTGTGTAAATACCTTACCTTCTTGCAATAAAGTATTTTGAACAGTTTAAAAAGGTGCATAATTTTTTATCTCATTGCTTTTGCTGTACTGTTATTTTGCCATTAATATCTACAGTCAATAAGCTGCTCTTGTTAGTCATTCTACAATAGACAAGCCAGACAAGGCAACAGGGTTGACCAAGAATGAGAAGTGGCTCTGATAGTGAGACAAACGTCTTTTTTCCAGGCATTTTGCACCCATTTCTATAAAAGAGTTCCAAAGAAGTCCCAGGGAAAGGTGACAGCCTCCTCAAGTTTGAAAACAGTGAAACTATTATCATTATTTCAATATTTCTTCAGGTTTTTGATGATGAAGGAAAGGACGTGACACCCCGTCCG